TGAGGGTCAGGGAAATGGCAGCTCAAAATGAAGGCCTCAGAAGCAAAGTTCCTCTCGGACCTTCTCCTGACCCCCATTCTTTCTTTCTCCAGGCAAGCCACAGGAGCGCAGATTGCACTTTCCATAGGCAGGTCATGGAAATCGGAACCACTCTCCCCTAAGTCAGTCATGATACATAAAAATTGTCCTCTAGCTTTCCATCTGTAGGAATTAGAGTTGAATTACTTGTGTGTGTGTGTGCATTCATGTGTGTGACTAGACATAGGTGCATGTAGAGGGGTGACAAGGCAGTCTCTGGTTTGGTCCCTTGCCTTCAGCTTTAAGACAGGAGTTTCTTTGTTGTTTGACACTGTATATGTAAAGCTAGCTGATCTGAAAACTTCCAAGGATTCTCACATGTCCACCTTCCGTCTTACCACAGACTCAATAGCACAGCACAAGTGCATGCTGTGCCTAACTTTCTGTGGGTTCTGAAGATTTCAAACTTCAGCTCTGATGTGTGTGAGTCAAGGACTTTACCCACTGAGCCATCTGCCCAGCACCTCCCCTGCCTTTTCATTTACAGTTAGCCACAGAAAAATTCTCTAGTCTGTCTTGTCTGAGAGTAGATTATAGACTCCGGAAGGGCCCTGCCTCACACCTGGGAGGAAGGAATGCTGCACAAAGAGGCCACCAACAATGGGAACAAGCCCCTTAGCTTTTCCACTGTCTGTTCCCTCTGGGTCATCACTTTTCCCCAGTCACATTTCTACACAACAGCTTGGGCTTTATTGACCCGAACCTGAAAGACCCCACCCCTTGGCTCGTTCTCTCTCTCGGTGACACTCCCGTACGCGCGCGCACCCACACGCCTGGCGGCTGGCTCCCTCCCAAGCAGGTTCACCCAGGAGGGGCGACCCAGGCACGCCCGCCCGCCTGGCGCCTCGCCCGGGGCTGGGGCCGAGCAACGAGCACCAGGTGGGCCGGCACGAGAACGAACACCAAGTGAGCCGGCCTGGAGCCCTGCCCCTGAGCCCCGCCCGATGAGAAACACTCCGTCCCAAGGGCTCCGCCCCCAAGGTCAGCCATCTGGACGCGGAAGGGAGGGGAATTGAGTCTGTTGTACCAGACACCAGACCTTGAGAATATGCTGATCTGGAATGGCTCTGTGCCTCATTTGAACCATCCAATAGAATCCCTGCTCCTAGCTTGCGCCTTTTTCCCTATATAAGGACCCCTTTCCCTTGGCTCGGCGCGCTTGGCCTCAGAAAAGCTAAGTCGCCCTGGGTACCCGCGTCTCCAATAAAGCCTCTTGTTTTTTGCATCCAGTTCGTGGCCTCGCTGATTCCTGGGTGTGGGTCTCCCTCTACAAAAGTACCTCTTCGGGGGTCTTTCAAACCATGAAAATGAATTGTTCCTCCTAGACCTGTGCTCTAACCTGAAGGTTCTCATTGTCAGATCCCAAAGAAGCTCAGGACAAATGGCTAACTGATGTGCCTATTAGCATACCAAAGCACGAGTTAGCAGCCCCCTGGCCCCCAGGCTCCCTCAGTTCCCCTGGTTCCTTGCTGCTCTTCCTAACCCACCCCTACTCTGAACCTCTCCAGCCCAGGGGCTTCCCTTCCCCAGTGTCGCTTTCCTATGTAAAACTGCCATTTCAGCCATTTTCTCCCTTGGTCCTCTCTCTCTCTTGGTCCTCCTGTCCCCTCTCTTGTTCCCCTCTCTTCTCTTCCTCTCTAGCCCCATCCCCTCTCATCTCATGCCTGGTTTCAGTCTACTGGTCATATCTAGTCTGCTTCTTTCTCTCCCTGATCTGAATCCTTTCAGATGTCTCTGGTTGTACTCTCCCTCATCTACAATACAAACCTTCTCTTCTGCCATCCCTTGCAGGGCTTATATCCTCAGTACCATCTACCTATGCCATGGAAAACTATACTCAGACAAATCAATGCCTTATGTGTCCCTCCTGTTAGCCTGGCAATTGCTAGTTGATTTCAGCAGATTCCAGTGTTTGGCCCTCAGAGGGCCAAAAGTTCAACTGCCACACTGTGAATGTCACCTTGCTGGCAGCTGCTACTTGCCTCTGACTCCTGGTCACACCTCACACTTACTGATTTGGAACCTAAATAAACTCCTGTCTTTCTGTCCATCTGTCTGTCTGTCCGTCTGTCTGTCTGTCTGTCGGTCTGTCTGTCTCTGTCTCTGTCTCTGTCTCTGTCTCTCTCTAGTTTGTTAGACTGCTATCTTGGGCATCTCTTTTGCTAGCCTTGGCATTGCCTGTGGACTCCGTCCAGTCTCAGGAAGTTGAGATTCCCATAGACCTTGCAGCCTGATTTTGACACCAAACAGGCACCACCTGTTTTAGAAAGGGCCACTGGCAACTGCTGCAGACACACAGCTGTGTCCACCATTCCCTTTGTCCTTATACATCAATGTGTTCTGCACCCTGCTGGTCCAGCCTTCAAGCTTCTGCCTGTCCTAGGCTGACCAGCCTTCCCTGGCTGACTACTTGGGCTGGGCTTGCTCTGGAGAACACTGAGCCAGGTGGGCCTTTCCTTTGGCACCTTGAGGTGTTAGAGGCCTCCCTCCCCTGATCCTCTTTGCCCTGGGCTCCATTCAGGGTCTGCCTGTTGCCCAGGCATTCTGCACAGGCCCCTGGTTCCTGATGAATGGGAGGTACAGCTCAGCTGTCTGCAGCAGGGCTTTCATTTCTCACCAAGACTGGTTCTTATCACATATCTGTGGTCTCAATCATATGTTTGGGGATGCAGAAAGACTGATGATTTCAAAACACCTTGGTGAGATACGGTCATTTTCCAAGTTCACTGTGAATCTGTGACATCCTATATTGCAAATGAACTGGGCAGAAGAATGAACTGCCCTGTGCAGTATCTCCTAGGAACCCCAAGCCAGGCCCTAGTGCCTCCCACCTCTATACCAAACCAGAAGAGGATACTGAGCACCCCCAGTGCAATAGGGTTTAAGCCACTGTTCTGCCACAGGGTCATTTCCCTAAGACATACACATCTTATTCCTGGTACCTGCAGGCACCCTGCCTCATTCAGAGAAAGGAACTTTGCACGTGTGAGTAAGGGTCCTAATGTGAGGATATTGTCTTGGATTATCTGGGTGGCCCGAGTACACTCCTGAGAGTCCTTACCAGGTCGAAGACAGACAGCAGGAAGACAATGTCAAGGAGAAATTTGAAGATGCTCTGCTATTGCCTTGGAAGGGGAAGCAGGAGCCACAGGCCCTAAACACAGGCAGCCTTCAGAAGCTGGGGAAGTCAAGGAAATGAACTCGTTCTGGTGTGGATTCAGTTCTAACCCTCAACTGTAGCCCAGGGAAACACACTGAGGATTTCTCACCTTTGCAGCTATAAAACAAACTTAGGCAGATTTAAGACACTACATTTATTCTGATGAGCAGCATTAATATGAAACTAATGTAGTCACCGCTGTGCTTCAGTTGTGTGGATATCACTGCATTTTCTCATTTGAAAGCTAGGGTTTAGAATAGTACCAGAGTGATGCCAAAAAGTGAGACCGTTATTTACATTTCATTTGCATTGTATCTGCATATTTGCATATTCATACTTATTGTAAGTCATGTAGAGGTGGATAAATGAGAACATGTATAGTTTCCTTATAAATGCTGTGCCACTTAATTTTAGGGATTTGGGCATCCGTAGATTTTAGAAATCAAGGGGTCCTGAACTTAATGTTCTGTATTTAAAGAGGGAAGACTTTATACATGCCACATTCATACATGTATGTATACATGTAGTATTTCCAGGTCTATATATGTGTAAGATAACACTTTGAAGGAGAAGTAAGAGTTCTTGGAGTTTGTGGCAACTGTGGTTTATTTGAGTGCCAGCAAATAAGTACCTGCTTATAGGACTTCTTCGAATTTTCAGTTTTTCAATTCAAAATTTACAATTTTGAATGTAGGGGCAAAGAAAGAGGCACCTAACATGAGATTTGTCTGTGTAGGTAATCAAATTTCTTAGCTTTGTGGATTGTAATTTTATCATTCTTTCATTGACTTTTGAGGATTATGCTCTGTCTTCTGACTCTGGGGTTGGAGGAGAATAGCACTCAGCCATTGGGCCTCAGTTCAAAATGCAGTCAAAACTGGCTTTGAAATAAAGATTATACTGTCTCCCTGCTTCTAGCTCCTTCCTTTGGTTTTCAGTACTCCTAGAACTCTTAAGTACGAATTGACCACACAGTTTAGTTCCACAAATGTTTGCTAGATGGTTGGGTGAGTCACTGTGCCAGCTCTGAGTCTGACTGAGAAAGGTAAATACACCCTACCTGAGCTCCAGTGGATACTGGGTCCTATGAAGAATCCATGGGAGGGGAGGTTGGCATTCCCAGTTTCTGTTTTTTTTCACTGTGGCTGGGCCCAATCCTGCTTTCCCACTCACTACTTCCGAGCCTCCTGCATCCACTAGGATCTAACAGGCATCCTCAGAGAGGTGCAGGAGCCCTGTGGGGCCCAAGCACAGCTGTGTGTTGCACTCACAACAGCGCTGGCTGGGCCCATGCACACTTCAGCTCCTATTGCTCTTCTCACTCACATGCAAACTGTGTGTGTTTGTGTGTGTGAGAGGGAGGACATGTGAGGTTCTGTGTGGATGCTGGAGGCAGACACATGCATTCACTGACCAAAAACTCCCCAGACACACCAGCCACCACGGCTGCCGCACTGCCCAGAGCGGCCTGGGTGTTCAGGTTCTTCACCTAAACTTTTCTCTTTTTTTCTTACTATTTTTATTTTGAGGAGTCAAGTCACTTCTTTACTTCCTTTTATAAATTATCGAGTGTTAGAAGTGTTCCAACAAGAACAAAAAGAAACAAGCCAGCCCTTGTCCCTTAGTCATTAGACTTCAAACACACACTTGGTGGATTTCCTGGCCTTAGACAAACCGCATTTGTTTCCGTCTCTGCACATTGTCCACACTCTTTTCCCTGCCATGTTCACAGACGTCAGTAATCCACCTCTGCTTCCTACAGGCTGAGCAAGCCATGAGGAGCAAGCCAGCAAGCCAGCAAGAGTTCATCTGCCGACTCTGCTTCAGTTCCTGCCCCGACTTCCCTTCATGACGGACTGGAACTAGCAGCTGAAATAAAGCTGTTGAACCCAGGCTGCTTTTGATCGTGTTTATCACAGCTGCAAAAGCTAATTTCCTTTTAAAATACCATATTTATAAAGCATGTCTGTTACATACCAGACTGCCCAAGACTTCTGTTAGTATTCATTCAGGCATCTGTACAGGCCTGTCCTTGGGCTTCTGACAGGAGATGCCCTCAGCTGCAGCCACTAAGAGCATCACCTGTGCACATTCACCATTCCATTTTAAAAGGGCCCTGTCCCTCTCCCATCCTTCTCTCTCTCTCTCTCTTCCTATTGCTCCTGTCTTCAGAGGCCAGTCTCCCACTTCCCTTTTCCCCTTTTATGATCCTTTTCCCAAAACACAAAACAGAACAAAACATAACAAAAACCCTCTGCTTGAACCCTGTCTATGGCATCTTTCTCTCATGGGCTGCTTTTCTTAAATTACAACTTCTGTTTGTTTCTTTCTATTTTTCACCCTCAGTTTAAGACAAGGGGGATAAAGTGATGGGCTAATTAATCACCAGCATCACTAAAACAAACAAAAAATCAGTAGAACAAATTTGTGAGTCTGGATGGATGCTTCCGCAAGGACATGTGTTTGCTTGTGCAGCCCTGATGACTTCAGTGCAATCTCAGAATCCATGTAAAAGTGGAAGGAGGGAAGAGACTCCAAAGAATCATCCTGTGACTCCCACAGGCATGCCACAGCCCATGGATACACACAGATATATAAAGACAACCATACATACACAAAAATCAATAAGGAAATAAATGTTTTCCACAAATGGAAAAGCTAGGGATCAAATCCAGGGCCTTTTGAATGTTAGGCAAGCATTCTATCATCAAACTAGACATAACCCAGCCTTAGGAATATAGGATAGGAAGTTTGCAAAGTGATGGGGGAAGTCCTTTTGTGTATATGTCTCTCTTATTGATTAATGAATAAAACATTGTTGGCCAATAGGGAAGCAAGATAGGTGTGACTAGGAGAGAAGGAGGATTCTGGGAAATATAGTAAAGAGGAGTCACCATGTGATCCCAGGAAGATAGGATGCTAAGGCCGGTCGGTGTCCTTTGTAAGATAAGTCCTTATAAAAATATATAGATTAGTTGTTATGATTGATAGTTAAGACTGAGCTAGAAAATAAAAAATCCTAGTCATTGGCCAACAACATTGTAACTAATATAAGACTCTGTGTGATATTTGGTGGAAAGGGTTACCATTACAGCAAAGAGCTGTGCATTCTCCCCAATACAGGGTTCTCTGACTGTCCAGACACCATCTGCTGTTGAGTGTGTTTTGAACTTACAGATTTCATCCTACTTAGTGCTTCCAGAACTTTCCATCCAAGATTCTAGACCACCTCATACTTTTCCTCCTTTAAAACTATTTATATTCATGATTGTTCTTCTCAGCAAGGACATCTAGAATCAAGAGGCAGTGATTGGGCTGGGAAGATGGCAGTACATACATGAGGACCAGAGTCCAGATCCCCAGCATTAGTGCAAATGTCAGGTGGGTGTGGCAACCAGACTACAATCCCATTGCTGATGAGGTGGTGCCAGAGGGTCCTTGGAGCAAGCTGGCTAGATTAGCTGGGATAGAGAGTTCTTTATTCAAGTACAGAGTGATGAAGGAAGAAACCTGACATCAAGTTCTGGCCTCCATAAACATATGCACATACCTGTACTGCCCAGACATGCAGCACACACATGTGAATGCACACACACACACACACACACACACACACACACACACATAATCCCATCCCCCCACAAGCAAAAATTAAAACAAGAAACAGGAAAAACTGTAAAAATGGGAAAATGGTTGTCATCTGTAGAACCACACATAACCCCCCCTTTTTCTCTTTCTGCTACTCTGCATTTTCTATGACAAACATTATTTGTATAGTTAAGAAAAACCAAAGGAAAATATGAGCACTGAGAATATGGGGAAAGGAGATTGAAAATGAACACCAGGGTCACATATTCCATGACCATAAGTATTTTGAGATGAAGAGAAACGGTGTCCGCACTCTAGGTTTGGAAATTGAGGAAAAGCATGAGGTGGTCTAGACTCTGATGGAAAGTTCTTGAAGCACTAAGTATATGGTGTGTGTACATGCACGAATGTGCTTATTGACCCGCAGAGGCCAGAAGGATGTGTTTGATCCCCTGAAGCTGGAGTTACAGGTGGTTGTAGGCTGCTGGGATCCAAACTGCAGTCCTTTGGAAGAGCAGCAAGTCCTCTTAAGACTAGGCCATCTCCAGTCCCCTAATATTTTTTAAATACTGGGAAAAGTTTCTAAAATGTAACAATTTGAACTAATTACTCTTCTACTCAATGAAAAACAAGGGCTTTTGTAAGAAAGGATGAATCCCACTGTGTGTGTGTGTCGCACTTTCTCACAATCCAGTTGGTTATCAGCCCAATAATAACAAAGAATCCAATGCACAGAAACAATGAAACAGCAACAACAAATCTATAAACAGCACCTGTAAGATAAAATCCTATTAGCCTAAAACTTGGGTGTCTAGTCTATGGATTTCAGAAAAAAACAAAAACAAAAACAAAAAAACAAAAATAAACCTGGGATGAGAATATTTTAAAATCATGACTGATAAGAGTCTGGCAAGACACGTTTATATATGCCACATTGGTTGTCACCTGTGTCCTCTTTATCGATATTGAAAACGTTATCTGCTAGAGTGTCACTCAGTCCTATACATCTTAGCTACAAGAAATGGTAAAGTGTGCACACATTCCCTTTAAATTGCACAATAGCTCCGGACTTTCAAACTATCGGCCGTAGCGCGTAAGTCATCTTGTATAAACACGCTTTCCCAGAGTAATCAGACACATCAGTAATTGGCCTGGGCCTTCCGGAAATACTGGGATGGGGGAGGGGGAGCTTAAGTACATTGCAGCTTGACCCTATCCTGTGTTTATGTTAGAAGTTTTCTCCTTCCTTTGCTTTCTTTTCTAAAAGCTCATCTGGTTTTCAGTTCTGGTTCCTACAGAGGGAGGCCAAGATGAGGAGGGACTGGGGCTGTTCTTAGCATCTAAGCAAGTACCATAGCAGCCCTTTGGGGATCTGGGGTCCGGAGGTCCCAATGCCTATCAGGGTTTAGGGCACTCCCTTTGCACTGAGTACAATGCCATCTAAGCACAGTTGGCATCTAAGTGTGGCTCAGACATGTGCTGGAACCCACAGGTGTGAAGAGAAAAAGGCCAAGTAAATGTGATCCTTACCTGTGTCATCAGAGTCCTTCCTTCTGCCCTGCCACCAGTCCAGTGGGGATGAGGGCCACCACTGTGCAGGCTGTGTACCTCATTGGATTGCCCCGATGTTGTGGGCTTCTGTCAACAGCACTATAAATAAGGCACGTCCACTGGCCCAGCCCAACAGATAAGAGCCCAACCTCAGCCCCTGCAAGCCTTTTTTGGTCTCTAAATGTAAGAAGTCTCAGGCCCCAGTTGGGAAGAGGCTATTGTGTATGTTCCTGTTTGACCTGCCTGTCTCAAGGACATCCCAGACCTTATATGTATTCCAGCAATCCAAGAACAGCTCAAACAGGGAAGCCATTAGGTACTGAACCTCCAAGTGTGTAGCCCAGGGCTCTATGCCTTGTTGGAGGCTGCAGGCAGCTGGCACATGAGTGGGAGGGCCCTTTTTCTGGGGATACAGGAGCATCTCCACAGGCTCAGAAGGGAAAGCCTGGTGTCTGCTGCTCCCTGTTGGAAAGAGTTCACTGACCTTCCTTCCCTAGCTCATGAGGACAAGGGCATTTGTCTGGAAAGCACAGAAGGATTCATGGGCTCAAGCACCAGGCACGCGCCTGGCTGTGGACTGGAATACATTTCCAGAAAACCTTGCATTTCCCTCTCCATTCAGCCTTGCTCATGTGTGACTGCAGTGACTTTGTGTGAAGCTGCCACAGAGGGTTTGCTGGAGTCTTTTAAAGAGCCTGGATGCCAGAAGAAAGAGAAGTCTAACTTGAGGAAACGACAACTCCTGAGCCTCCTTAACTTTCCAGTTTATGAGCAGATAGCAGTGGCATCTCAGGTCACCTGCCCCCAACACTGTCTCTAGGCTGTGTGCTTGGCACTAGCTTCCTGAGTTCCCACAGGAAAGTAGTTTGGGAATTCAGACCACTGCAGTCAGTGTTGTGGGCAGATAGTGTTCAAGGACAGTCCCTGCAGTTCTCTTCAAGGCATCAGAGAAAGCCATACATCACCCTCCTACTCAGCAAGAACAGCCTGTGTAGATTAGAGACCGGAAGAAAAATGGCTCCTCCCACCCATTGAGGACAGCATCCAAATAAATTGATAACAAACCGTTTAATCTTAATCACACACGTGCTGTCATGAGTGGCTGTCCTCCGAGCCAAGAAATGCCATCTTGGAAAGTTCAGCCACCCTCTGTGGTCACTTGAATGAAAATGACCCTCATGGGCTCATATGTTTACATGCTTAACCCCAGCTGATGAACTGTTTGGGAAGGATTAGGAGGTGTGGCTTTGCTGGAGGAGATGTGGCCTTGTTGGAGGTGTGTCAAAGGCCCTCTCTCTCTGCCTGCTGCCTGTCGATTAGGATTTAAAGCTCTCGGATATTGCTCCAGCACCATCCCTGCCTGCTTCCTGCTATGATGATAATGAACTAACTCTCTAAAACTGTAAGCAAGCCCCCAGTTAATTTATTTGTTTTAAATATGATTCTGTCACTCTGGGGAATTATGAATTTATTGGGCTTCATTATGGAGGGCTAGATGAGAGGTTACTTAAAAAGGTGTGGTGGCATTTTCTCCCATAACCAGTTACCCCATCACAAGCTTTACCCAACAGGAATAGATAGAGACCCCTGCCTTCCAGTTCCCCAGGCCCCTATCTTGCTCTAGTCCCTCCCCCAAAGCTTAGTGCAGAGTTGCCTGGTGGCAGGGAGTAGCTGGATACTTAAAAGAAAATTCTGTCCCTCTGTGTGAAGGTGAAACACATTGACCAGCCCTGCTGGGCAGAATCATGCCTCAGTTTGTCATTGAGACCTTGAGAGGAGGGGTAACCATTGTTTTGTGTCTCCCTGAGGGAAGGAGTGTTAGCAACACTTGTTATTC